CCAATATTCATATAGAACACGTACTCAATACAAATTATAAAATAAAAATTAAGCAATGTCATAAACCCAATTTCTCAAATTATCTATAAAGGAGCAAACTAGTAATCTAGCATATATTGGCCAAAATTTATACAAACACACACTATAAGGCTCTAAGTTATAAAGCAGAAACTAAATTACATCATTTACAAAGGAAACTAGAACTTTGACCCTAAACTCTTAGGCCAATCTATAGTTTCAAAGTTTCATGCACGTACCTTATTACTAAAAATGCTTATAACCTCTCATCACTAGGATAATAATGAAAAAAAAAGTACCAACATATTCAACGATATATATAGATATGTATATTACATTCGTGAACAAACTCCTTCTACGGTTAACAATCTTTGAGGACGAAAGCACTTAAGAATTCAGGATCTAAAGGGCAGTTTACTTTGGACATATAGGCACCCTCAAGTACGTTGAGCTCTCATGCTTTAGAAGCCATTATTTCAACACCTTCAACACCTTCGGCCTCTTTCTGAAGCTTAAGAAATATGTCCTTGCAGTAATGTTCTCCCATCTACACATATTGTTTGATAATTGAAGCACGTCAATGCAATAATAATATTGCCTAAATTTCGACTGCATGCATTGATGAATTCTAAGGTGAGGTATATGGTTCATGATTTCCATAAATTGTGGGCTTCATGCCAATAATTCAAACTTGTTGAAAAGATTTCCGTGAGGTTAGTTGAAGATTGAAAAGATTGACCTTAATATTAGAGACAATATTTCTCAAATATTCCTTAATATTAAGAGCTATGTAATATATCTTCCAATGAGAGGATCGATTCAATTGAAACACACCTGTGTAAGGAGTGAATACAAGGTAGCGTATTGTAGCTGCAAAGGACCTGACTGAATACTCTCAAACCCCAACACAAAAGAGGAAGAGAAGATTAAACTTCAGCATGCATAAAATAGGTAAAAAAAAAAAAAAAGAGCGACGATGAACTAATATAGGTTCCCAAAGTTCCATTTGATTTCAAATAATATAGTCTCTATATGGTTTAAAAATTTTAGTCCCTACCAGCCTTGAGAAAATCAACTCCCAATTAACGGAGAATGCGAATTGAGGATCGACCTTCTAAAAACACAAAAATAGTGTCCAATGGGAACCCTTCAAGTTGTAAATATGAAACTTAGTTATAAATTTAGAAAGTCCAGTTGTAGACAGGTCCTCATTTTACTTTAATTCCCTCAAAAGGTCTTCCTATATTTAGCATTGTAGGGAATAGTATCTAGACATGTGGTTTGCCTAAATTAAGTGAAACTCTAATGGCTAACAGCATATAATTCAGGCCTGAAAATACTTCACAATTGTGAAAGGGAAGGAAGTGTTATAGTTACCCAGTAACGAGCCTGACGATGATGTAAGCGAATTGTCCCATTACGCAGGCGTCAAAGCTATAAGCAGCCTTAAGCTGAATAATATATAAGATTATATGCATAAATATCAATTAATTATGTGAACCCATAAGGGCAAATGAAAGTGGAAGCTAAGGAGAAGAAATAATAGAATTTGCTCACCCATGTCCAGAATGCAAGCTCAAAAGAGTTCTGGAAAAGGATGAAGTGAATCAATAAGAGAACAAAGGAAGGCCGATGGAACCAAAAATGATTATCAGCATTGCTTGCATCTACGCCACGAACTAATAGCATAAGTGCATGCTCCAACTTAGTGCCAACTGCTAGCAGAAGCTGAGACAGAGCAATGCAAATCAGTACAATAGAATTGTGTGTGCGCGCGCGCGCGCGCGCGCGTGTAGATAAATCGAGAGAGAGAGAGAGAGAGAGATAAAGTGGGTATGGATGAAAGAATCTTAGAGAAAAATCTTAAGCAAGAATATTAAGTAGTTGAAACAAAAGGTGAGACATGATGAATCCTTAAGCTTAATAAATTTCCACTAAAAGTGAAATAAATCTTAGAACGATACTTACAATAAGTGGAATAAACGCTATCCAAAAATATGCGTACCAGCCTGTAAGAACAAAGAGAAAATCAAATATCTGAATTTGAATTTGGAGACAACAAGGAAAACAAGAGAAATAATTAGATAACCATACCATTAACATTAACTAAGAAGAAGATAACCACAGAGATCCACAGGTTACCAACTGCAACCAAAATTACAGAATCAGTTCCCAAAGATATTTAAAATCAAAATGAATCCTCAGAAGCACTTACCTAATGCCAAAAACATATATAAAATCAACTTCAAGGGCTTCTATCATGTATTTGTGAAAATTAAACTTCGGATTTGCCTCGCTAATCTACAACACAGAAATATAAAAGCATGATCTTGACATCCCTACTTGAGAGGCTACTTGAAAAGAGCTTCAGATCAAGGATTAATAGGCACCGAATTAATAGGCACCGAACTTCACATTGCCGTCCCTTTTAAACTTACCTTCATAAACTCACTTCTTAATGTCACATAATCCGATTTATTTACGGACCCGCAAAATTGCTTCCAAAAACAATGCTGCAAGAAACTTTCAATCTACAGGGACTAACATTTTTTAACAAAGGAGCCAGAAGTGATGGTTTTAAACCTCAAGGACTGAAACTAAAATGAACGCAAACTGCAAACTCTAAAGACCAATAATTATATTATCCCAATTTAAAACAAACATATAATTTCTTCACTATCAGTACTTTAAGACTATTTTCATATTTAAAAAATAAAACTTTAAACCATTAAAAATACTATTCATAATACTAAATATAATCAGTGTCATAACCAGCGACTTGTTGTTGGAGTGAGGAATTAATGTGGAAATGTTATGTTACATGAGCAGCGCAATATTCGATTATGGCACCAGATGATGGTGGCGCCGCCGCAGCAAGAAGATGACGGACAGTTGCAGAATGATTATTAGATTTCGTCCAGCAAGGAATCATATCATTGGTCACACCCGGCGACACGCAGATTTTTACGATCCTTTTCTCTGAAACCGTCAGAAGCAGTGATATGAAACCCAGCAGCATCAACTCTGAAAAGATTCTGAAACGTTTTCAAAATTAATTTAGATGAACTCATGAAGAAGAAAAGGTTGAGAGCTTATTATTATTAGTTACAGCTACAGAACCTTCTTTGATTTTCTGAAGAGCTTCGTAGAGGGCCGTCTTTTGCTTCTCCTTCCGGCGCTCTCCGGCACGATGAAGAAGACGTTCTAGACCATATGAAACGCCAACAATGACAGTGTAAACGACAGCTACAACCCATGTAGGAGTGTATACGTCGGTAGTTGCTTCCCCACCTCCGGCCATTATATTCTCTCTCTCTAGCTTTCTATCTTCTTATTAGCTTCTTGCCACTGATCTGTGGACTCTCTGCACTTTTTCATTTCCACTTTGTCCATTAATATATGTGTACCTCCACTGAGCTTCAAAGTCTTCTTGTATTGTTTTGGATCTGACTGAAAGGTATGTAAATTAGGGGGAAAATTTTGAAAAAATTTTGTAAGATTTTTTTCAGGGTTGAAGCTATCTTTATTTTCTAAACTTTGACCTGATTTTAGTTTTGATTTTTGAAATTTAAAATCAGGAATTTTGTTTAATAGGATTTGACTTCGTTTTGATTGGTTTAAAATTGTTTATACATATTTTAAGGACCAAAATCAAAATGAAATGAAATTTTAAAAATCAAAGATGATCTTAGTATTTTTTTTTAAAATATATATCAAGAAGCAAATTTCTTTTTTGAATTTTGAAATTTACTCACCCTAATTTCTTTTTCAAAAATGAAATTTTAAAATTCTTTGGCCGTTGATGTGGCATTCTTTTTTTTTTCTTTAAAAAAAAAAAGAAAACTGAAGGGAAGTTGCATCATTTCACATTTAAAAATTCCAAAATAGTATAAAAGATTTAATTAAAATTTTGAAATTTACTCACCCTAATTTGTCTTTTAGCATTTTAAGAATATTTTAATGTTATTTTTCCTTAAAAAGCAATTTTTTTTGTTATTTTAATTTTAATCACTTTCTTTTGACTTTTTCTAACGCTACAAAATGTTGATTTGATTCTATTTGAATTATTACGAAAAATGAATAATAAAATGAAACCAAAACTTGTCTACAATATATATTTATAAAAGACAATTCATCCTTAAAATTTTCGCCACAAAAAAAAAATCAAGAACAATATTTAGTTGTCGCCGAAAGTCTACCCTTCGAGGATTCTAAAAAATTGTTGTTGAAAATCCATATTTCAATGAAAACTCTAAAAAGTCGTTGATAAAAATTAACAGAAAATCTTTAACCGGCAGACTTTCAAGTCATCGCAGCTGAAAATATAATTTAATAATATATATTTAGTTTCACAATAATAATAAGTGGATCCATTTTAACTCAACTGCAATAATATTATATACGTACGAAATAAGGTTACAAGTTCGAATATTGGAAAAAGCACATTTAACTCAATAATACTTAGGGATGATAGGGCGCAAAGGTCAAGACGTGGCGATGAAGTGGCATGAGTGGGTGATGTGAAGGTGACGTGGCAGGCAGCCAGCGATGAGTTGGTCAGCCTGAGGTAAACATTATTTTTCTCGGAAGAAACTTTCAATGGTGAGAAACGACTAAAAGTACGTCTTTGGGTGGAGACAGATGTGAAACTAAATCACAAACACACACTATAACGCTCCATGGTACAGAGGAGACGCTAAATTACATATATACAAAGTAAACTAGCACTCTGATCCCTAAATTCTTAGGCCAATCTATAGTTTTCAAAGTTTCACGCACATTGTGACTAAAAATACTCACAAGCGCAGCTCATCACTAAGATAATAAAAAGAGAAAAAAGAAAAAACTGACATATGCAACGATATATTACATTCGTGAACTAACTCATTTTGCGCTCAACAATCTTTGAAGACGAAAGCACTTAACAACTCAGGTACGCTGAGCTCTCAAGCCATTTATCAAAGTCCTACAGATGAAGAACCTTATTGGGAAGGACGATCATCACCGTGGCCCTCTTTCTGAGGCTTATGAGACGTTTCCTCACTGTCGAGTTTTCGCATCTACACATTGTTTGATAATTAAAACGCATATTAATTCAATAATGATGCCTAAATTTGGATTATATGCATTACTGATGATGAAGTCTAAGGTGAGATATTTGCATGGGTCATGATTTGCGTAACTTATGGGCTTCATGCCTATAATTTAAACTTGTTGAAAATACTACCGTGAGGTGGGTGAGGTGAAGACTCAAAAAATTGACCAAGCAAAATGGCAAAAAATATTAGAGACAGTGTTTTTTAATTCCTTAATTGTGGCAATGAACTGAAAAAAGATGCTTCTAAAATGATAGAGTAATGTTATATCTTTCAGTGGGAGGATTCAAATCAGTTTGAACAGCAACTCAAACACACCTGTGTAAGGAGTGCATAGAGAGGTAGCGTATTGTAGCTGCAAAGGACCTGAATGAAAACCCTGAAAACAAAGGAGAAAGAAAAGATTAAAATTCAGGATGCATAAAATAGGTGACAAAAGAGGCAATGTCGAAGTTTTGAACTATATATATATATAGATGGGTCCACAAAGTTTCATTTAATTTTAAATAATAGTTTAAAATTTGAGTCTCACGATTGTTTTATAAGAATTAGATAACTAGCTTATAGATATTACAAAAATAGTTAGTTTTTATGGGAATCTCTTTTACTACATAGAATCAATAGGGATGGCCAAGGGCAAAATCATGTAATTTTAAGAGACAAAATGAATTGAAATCTTATATTAAAGACTATAACAAACATCTCAATTTGTTCCTATATTTAGGATCGAACGGGGTAGGGTATATTTAAACATTTAATTTGGCTAAAGTCATAAAATGGCAAATTGAAAGTAGTTACATGATAGCAACCAAATTAAAGTGAAACTCTAATGACAACTAATTAACAGCATATAATTCAGGCCTGAAAATACTTCACAATTGCAAAAGGGAAGGAAGTGTTGCAATTACCCGATGACAAGCCTGAAGACAATGTAACCAAATTGTCCCATTACGCAGGCGTCAAAGCTATAAGCAGCCTTAAGCTAATGAACAATAAAATTATACATATATAAATATTAATTATAATCACGTCAAATCCAGAAGCGCAAATGAAAGTTGATTGAGGAAAAGAAATAATAGAATTTTCTCACCCATATCCAGAAGAAGAATGCAATCTCAAAAGAGTTCTTGAAAAGGATGAAGTGAATCAAGGAGAGAACAAAGGAAGGCCGATGAAACCAAAAGTGATAACGTGATTGTCGAACAACATGCAATTGGCCTTCAATGGCATCATCCGTTGCAGCTAGTTCATGAACTAATTGCATAAGTACATTCTCCAACTTAGTGCCCACAGCTAGCAGAAGCTGACAGAATGATGCAAATCAGTACAGTGGTGTGCGCGCGCGCGCGCGCGCGTGTAGAGAGAGAGAGGGAGATAACGTCGGTATCGATCAAAGAATCTTAAATATCAGAAACAAGAATATTTAGTCTTTGGTGTGATGAAATTGCACGGTGAGATTATGTGTCGACAAGAAACTAACTAAAGCTGAATTCCACTAAAAGGGAAACAAATCTTACGAAGATACTTACGAGAAATGGAATAAACGCTATCCAAAAATATGTATGCCACCCTGTAAGACCAAAGAAATTAAATTAAATATATCTGAATTTGGTGACAAAAGGTAATGCTTTTTTGACAACTAGAAAAAACCGAGAGAAATAATTAGATAACCATACCATTAACATTAATTAAGAAGAAGATAAACACAAAGATCCGAAGGTACCAACTGCAACGAAACAAAAGTATGATCATGAGTACATAGTCAGTTCCCAAAGACATTTAAAATCAAAATGAATCCCCAGAAGCACTTTCCTTACACCAACAAAAGGACCTTCATCGTGTGTTCGTGAAAAGTAGGCTGCGGATTATTTTTCTTGCCCGTCTAAAACAAAGAAATATAAAACAATAATCTTGACACACACACACACACCCTACTTGAGGCTACTTGAAAAGAGCCAGATCAAGGAATAATAGGCACCAAACTTCACATTGCATAGCCTTTTAAACTTACCATGTTATTAAAACCATTCTTTAAGTTCACATAATCCGCTTTATTTACAGAGTCATAAAATTGCTCCCACAAAGAATGCTACAAGAAACTTGCAAGATTAGGACGATGAACAACTAAAACTCAGACAAAATCTTCATATAATCAATTCTCAGTTTTGGATTAACATATTCGACTAACTTACCAACCAAGCCATCAGATCGTTAGTACTGCTCCTTGGTTGCAGAACTGCCGTAACCCAATTAGCCTGTTAGGAGCAATGAAGAAGAAAAATACTCAGAAAGATAGCTTTTATGGGAGGTAAACAGATACTGTTTGTCAGATTAATTAATTATTTTCAGTTGTTTCATGGTTCATGAAAACAAAACTAAAGATAACAATTACAAAGTAGAACTCGAAAAACATCTACCAAAGAGACTATAGTTTGATTAAATAATTGAATCACTTACGTAACTTTCTGATCTTCACCAATTGACCGGTCCAGTGCCTCCACTGTCGTATCTACACAACAAACGGATGGATCTTTCAAAAATAAAGAAAATAGAGTAGGAATAGCTTATAACAGAAAGTGTCTCACATAGTCACTTTGCGCAGTCCAATGAAAACTGTGAGAACTCAACAGATCACGTGGACTACAGCTAGAATGAATATGAAGATATGCAGGTCTTGGATGGCCTTAACGGATCTCAATGGAACCTTGTTCTGAAAGAAATGAAGGAATAACAAAATGATTAAATGATCACATGTAGTTCAAGAAACTTAAAAAGGAAAATTCGTGGCATAAATAAATGAGAGGGTTATGTCCTGACTCTGAGAACCTCCATAACTATTATGATTATATAATATCTCAATCTTTGTCCTTTTATTTTTCAAAAGGAAAAAAATGCATATTTAGTTATTTAAGTTTCATTTTGATTTCTTAATTTTATAAAGTATCATTTTAATCCTTTAACCTTAATGCATTTACAAAATGTTGACAAATATTTTTGAATGCTAACATATTAAGTTTAAACTTTTAAAATGATAATAATTATTAGAAAAAAAATCATTATATTTGGAACTAACGGTATTAAGGTCTAAGGACTGAAAAAATAATTTATAAAGAAAGAGGACTAAAAGGGCACTTTTGGCCGTTGAAAACTCACCAATCTCATTTGACAGAGAAAATAGTTTGCCATTTTGATGCTCATCATGAATAATAAGTACCAAAATTTGGACACTCTAGATTTAATATTTCTTACTTTTATTTCTTGAAAAATATTTAAAAGGGTATAGAGTTTAAAGAAAATCACTTAACTGTGTTTTTTTTCCTAATAGAATGATTTTTATTTAAAAATCATAAATTAAAATTTTTAAATTTAATATGTTGAAATTGTATTGTTACGTTGCAGATCTCACTACAATAATAAATGCCACGCTGAGGAGGGAAACCAATTTTAAGGTGCGGAGCACTGAAATTTGGACTGTCCTAGTTAATCTAAATCGACAGCTCATATATAATTTTACTTTTATTTTTCTAAAAAATATTTTAATTTGTAGAATTTAAAATAAACATATAATTTCATCACTATCAGTACTTTAAAACTATTTTTCATGTTTAAAAAATAAAACCTTAAATCTCAATCATTAAAAATACTACTCATAATACTCAATCTATAATCAGTGTATACGTTGGTTGGTTCTTCTCCACCACCAGCCATTCTCTCTCTCTCTCTCTCTCTATCTAGCTCTCTATCTTCTTATTATTAGCTTCTTGCTACTCTCTGCACTTTGTCACTTCCACTTTGTCCATTTATATATGTGTGTGTCCGAGTCCTGTGTATCTCCGCTGAACTTCAAAGTCTGCTTGTATTGTTTTGGATCAGTGATAGGCGCCTAAATGATGATTTTAAAAAATGAAAAAATTGTCATTTTTTTAATATACCAAACTTCTAATGATTGCTTTGGTGTGTGCGATGGATTATGTCTTAAGAAGCAAATTTTGTGTGTGGTTTGTTGGTCTCCCACACACACACACACTACTGTTCTTTTCGGAAGTGACTCTCTGTAGTCTTATTGCAGCTAATAAATGCTTTTTTTGATGGTTTAAAACTTATTAATTACTTTTCTGATTTTATTTATAAGACACTTCTAACATAACACAGACTAAAAAAAACCTTAAAATGTATTAACTTTCTATTAAAATATAACAATTTTTCAACTTTACCCATATTTAATATATATACCTTTCAAAAGAGATAACTACCTACACTATAATAAATAAAGGATTAAATAGTATATTCACACTGAAAATTTAATAAAGTGACTTATAAATAGAATAAAAAAAATATTCTCTCTCTGCTCTATAAATAGGACCAGAGAGTATATGACATGAAAATTAACAAAGTTATCAATTTTAATGTTATATGTTAAATCCATCATCTTAGAAGTCAAAGAGCTGAGTTTTAAAAATATAAACCAATATTAAATTAGGGCATAATGAGAAGGGTTATCTTACATAAAATCGAATATATGACACTTACTGCTTATACTCCCTTCCATCCTTTTTATAACAAACTTGGTGAAAAAATCGTTTTCTTTTCCCCTTTTTATATAACATATATACTCCTTCAGTTCTAAATATAAGATTCATTTTATAGTATAATACTGTAAAACTCATTTGGCAGTATAAATTATACTATAAAATAGGTTTTACATTTAAGACTGGAAAGAGTAACATGAGTTACATATATACACACACGTAACATTTTACTCATGTGGAATGCAGCTTTTTCTTTTTTAATTTTTAAGCAGGTGAAAAAGGGATTCAGAAAGTGCGGTGCCTTCACTTGCGTCGGCAAGTGACCAACTTCATTACGTGGGATTGTCGGATTGATGACTCCATTAAAGAATAGATCGAGGTTAAATGAGAACGAAATGATCCGTTCGTACATTTGTTTTAATTCTGTTCCCCAAAAAAGAAAACTACATACATTTGTATTGTGCGTTTAAATTGAATACAGAAACTCCCATTTGAAAAACTGCTCATTACTCCGATAAGAATATCAAAGACAGTTTATAAAAAGTTATTACTCTCCTTTTTTTTATGAATAAAAAATTATTACTCTCTCCTATAGTAAATATAAGCTACTTTCAAGTAATTTACACTTAATCAAGAAAAATAGTTCAATCTTACTTTAAGTATTAAACTATTATGAAACTAGAATAATTTTTAAGATTATTCTAATTAATTACACTAAATATCTCTATCATGCTCAATCCATCTCAATTATAAGCGAAAACTATCAAATTTTCTTGGTAGTTTCCAAAGAAAAACAGACAAAACCATCGCATTGTTACCCATCTCTTTCCATTTGGAATCTCCTCCTCACAGATTTGTTTTCTACACTGGATATCATATCTGGGACTAGGGGTAATATGACACTAAATACTTCCCATGATTTGTTTTTTCAAGTGTGGGGTGGTAGTGATGCGTTTGAATTCTCTACAAAGAATATAATGAATATGTGAGTTTTGATTATAAAAAAATCTTGTTATTGTATTCTGCAAAGAGTAATCATAAAGTATCAAACAAGCTTGCCACATATTAAATAACCTTTATAATTTCGTTAATATTTATACTATCATGTTTCAACGTTAATCAATTAATTAAAAGACGACACTTTCATCAAGTTTCTTACATCTATTATGTCAAGTTTTCCAATCACATATAACCATATATCATATTTTTAAAATATTAGCAGTTAATTATAAATTTACAAGAAATAAAAAAAGACACATGGCAATAAATAATTGGAGAACTTGATATAATAGATATAAGAAGCTTGATCTAAGTTTCTTTTTAATTAAATACTTGACAATAAAAACAAAGCTTGGCATGCAAGAGTCATGACTTGCTTCTGCATGAATATAGGAAGACTAATATTCGTCAGGGTTGTGTCATTAATTTACGGGTACACGCATTTAGACTTATCAAAATAGCTGGAGATTGAATAAAATTTTATTATAACTTTTAAATATTTTATTTTATTTCAAACTTGGAAAGTATCTTTATCTAGGATTTTTTAATTAAAATTAAAAGATGATCCACGAGAAAGTGGACAGCTAAACTTTCCCATTCCAATTTTTGCATTTCGTGTCCAAAGATATTATTGCTATTATCTTGATTGATAGCTACATTTTTTTCCTTCTTTATTTTGCCAAAATTACTTTTTTTTTCCTGACCAAAATTATTCTTGATTACGTTTTCATGAATTAAAAATACAGCTCAAGTTGTCAACATAAAATTGGCAGGT